CCTACCACCAAGCGGCAAGGCGGTCAGTCATGCGGTAGACTATATGCGCAGCTTCAGCACCGATTTGTGCTTGCGCAATCATCTCAGCCTGGTGCACAGCGCCTTGGACGACTTGTTGCTCTTCTGGAGTCAGGTTCTTGGTCAGGTTCTCATATAGTGCAGGTTGTTCTTGTTGAAGACCTTCTTGCTATTAGTTCTCGAGGATACAGATTCGCTGCATATATGAAAACTTACGGAGCAGTGCATGCTTAAACATGCCATAGGGCTCGACCTTATCGAGGGGCGTCTCAAGAAGACTCTCCTCCTCCAGCTCATCATCATCATCGTCATCAACAGAGGAGAACTTCTGGGCCTTCAACTCGTCAGCAGCTGCGAGTCTGGCCAGTTCCTCGGGACTCACCTCTTCGTTCAAGAACTCGAGATAAGCGGCACTCTCATCCTTGATGTCTTCTTGCTCATCTGCCTCGTTGTTCCAATCGGCTTCTTGTTCCCATTCCTCATCCTCTTCCTCATCGTCGTATTCGCCAGCAAAGTCGAAATTGTCCTCCTTCTTGGCTTCCTCCCGATCTGCAACTCTAATTAATTTCCTTAAAAAAGCATGATATGGCATAGTGACTTACTCTTCAAAGCTGCAGGAAGGGTTTGGAACAAACGAACAACACCCTGAAGCAGACGCGGCCACCCTTGCTGCACACTGACGGGTACGTCTTGTGGTGCCAAAGAGAGAAGAGCGCAAATGGCTGAGATGCAGAGCTTCTTGTCATGGACTCTAGTGAAGTTGTCGATACTTGAGAACCAGAAGCTGAAAAATTTGTTTGTCCAGCCATTGCCCTCAAGAACATGGAGTGCTAAAGCGGGGTTGTAGTAGATGGCGTTGATGACTACTTCCATTAAATGGATTCGAAGAGACTTGACTTTGAGCTCATCATTGGTCAGGACCTGCATCGCCAAGGCAATAAACTCCGGTACAAAGTCGTCGACATGGCCACGCATGTTGAGCATGATGATCTCGGAAAGCTTGCAACCGCAGATGCGGTCTACACCACCAACCTTGTCGTCCTTGAAGATGGTGCGTACCATGTCCACAATCGCATCAAGGTACAGGCGATTTTGGATCAAAGTGGCGGTGCCGTAATTGACAAAGTTTTCGAGAGCGGGCAGCATATCTTCAAGGTAGAGCTCTGCACCAGCCTTGAAAGTCCTGTGGATCAGCTCGAATGCCTGCCACATGGTTCCTGAAATACTCTTAGCCGCAAACGTGCAACTGTCGATAATCTCGAAGACTTCGTTATAAAGGTCGTAGAGCTTGTTCTCGAGCGTAATAGTGATGACAGGCATGAGAATCGTCTCGAGATGTAACAGAACATCGGGTGTGCTTTCGAGTGTTAAGATGAGGGTTCCAATGGTTTGCAGGACACCGAGCGCGGTAATACTCTTTTCATCCAGGTAGTCACCATACTCGCTCTCCTCACCCTTTTCTTGATTTCTCGCCACAAGTTCGCGCACGATGCGCAGGTATGTGTCGCGCAATTGCTCGCTAAGGGCGACTGCGAATGGCGTTAATTCTGGTGCGAATACCTCGACAAAGTCTTCCATGACGTTGGAGAGAGCATCCACATCAACCTCGTTGGCCAGTTTTAACAGCTGCTGCATGACTTGAGGAATATTCTCCTTCATGTTCGTCCTGATCATGTCATGGCGAATCAATGGCTGAAGCGATAGGGCGGCAGCTACACGGACAGGGAGGGCAGGATCGGCCATTGATTCAAGAATATTGCGGTAGATGATCATGAGGTTGGCTGGGTCCTTGAAGTCGAGTTGTTCGAACTTTTCGAGCGTATCACAAGCACGAGCACGGAGGAATCCGTGAGGGCTGCGGAACTCTGGGAAGATGTGGCGAACGAAGAAGTACTCGACCTGATCTGCGATTGGGCTCTTCTTTCCGAGAATCACGCCCGATAGTGTTCCCAGCATGCGTAGCGCGCCCTCCTTCTCGCGGGGGTTCTTCTCGTTATCCGGCGCAGCCTCGTATCGGTTGACCACTTCGTTGACGAAGTTCAGTACGGTGAACGTTTGCTTTCGGCGACTCTTGGTCAGCGTGACCAAGAAATTGGTAGCGGCGACGTCAGGCGATGTCACATCTTCGTAGAAGTTCAACTTTCGGTGCAGGTACTCTTGCGGCTCCTCCTCGAAAAGTTCAATATCCCCATCCGACTGACACAGCACAGGAAAGACGAGATGTGCAATGAGGTTGTCTGTGTGAGGCTTGAGCAGGGTCCACATGGACTTTGGCTTGATGCACTCGTCAAGGAAATTGAGTGTGTAGTACAAGCTGGCCTTTGATAGCCAGACCTGCTTTCCGACCCATTTCTCTACTTGTTGTAGGTAGACCTTGAGGATCTCTGGCGCGAAATTGGCGATGAAGTTCTTTGCAACTTCGGTATAGTCGATTTCGTTGTTCTTGCCCAGTGCTGACGGGTTGCCATATCTGTTCAGGGTTAGTTGCGGTCCCGAGTTGTGGCCATGCAGGAGCACGACGCACCTAACGTATAATCTGTTGAGATTGGCATATGACCACTTCTTCGCCTTCCACCAATGGTTCGTCTCCCGCTCGTCTAGATCATCGGGGAGGGAGGTCGGTGGGGGGTCCTTGCCGACAACGGTGAGGAAAAGGGTCAACCAGCCGACCATGACCTGCTGCTCGCGCAGAGACGCGGGGAGGTCAAACTAAAGACACATTAGCTCCAAAGCACGTGGCCGTGTATTCGACATTCTTACGTAGATTGCGTGCTTGTACACCTTCAACACGGTCCTCAATATTTCGCCGGCTTCGAGGCTCGTTTCGCCTGCCAGAGAATTGCCAATGTTGAGCAGCTGGGGGAAAGACAGGGCGACGATCTTGTCGAAATCTGCGCGGTTCTCGCCCGACTTGAACCTGTAGATTTTGCATATCGCCAGTAGACACTGGACACCCGAGAAGACGGAGGCGATATCGCCAGCATTCAGAAGTTGTACGGTGATGTCGAGGAAGTTGGGCCACTTGGTGGGGAAGTCGTATGCAAGGATCTTCTGCAGGGTAGGGATGAGTTGTATGCGCACCTGTGGCGGCGAGGCGACGAGGATGGGCACGAGGCGGTTGCGAAAGGACGTCTTCTCCTCCTCTGGGATGGGCTTAGCCTGGCTGTACTCTTCAGCCGGCGACCAGCCCTTGGAGACACGGTTCTTCAGGTAGACGACCGCTTCAAACAGGTGTCAGTACTTTTTTTTTCGCAGGCGGCCATGTTCAGGACGGCGCATCGACTTACTCGACAGGCGGACTGCGCTGTCCTGTTCCTGCTCTAGTAGGGTGAGCAGGGCATCTGTGAAGCCTGGCTTCTCCTCAGCCTATTCCATACGTCAGTGAGTTTGTAGGAGTGGGGAGGGAGGGGGAAGGAAGGAA